GCTTTTTTGAAAAGGGATAAGTAGGATGCATGATGTCCAATAAAAGATTTTGAATGTTTTACTGGTTCTTGTTTTGGGTCACCTCTCCACAGCCAGAGGTTCAAGTTCCTGCATGTGTGTAAAGAGAAAGAATGCCTGGGAAACACACCAATAGGAGATCTGATAGATCCTCTAAGCGTCTGTAAGGTGTCACTAGCCACGTTTCCATTGACTTGATTACAATAAAATGAAAAGGCATTAAAAGTTTGTGATTTTCGCTGCCGAGCAGCTTGCTTCCATCACGCTGATTGCAATAAAAGTGCTTTACTTAATGAAACCATTTGTTGCATAAGCTTTGGTTTATCAATTAAATGAAGTGTGTGATGTGTTTCCATCTCTGAGTTGCAACAGCTTGTGTACCTATGGCTTTCGTGACAGCCCCATAGCCTGCTGATGAGGAAATGTGGTTTATTTTTTGTATTTTTTTCCGAGGGATATTTGTCACATGATACCAAATTTATACATACTGGAACATTTTAAACTGTTTTGTTAAATTCAGCACTAAAATTCTGCAGAAAAAATGTCATATTTAGGTGTATGAAGAGGGTGTGTTCACTTATTTTCGCTTAGAAACAAAACACGTAATTTAACCTTGGGTATTCAAACTTTTACATACCATTGTAAATACATTATCCCACCCCCTCACCAAACCCCCTCTCAAAAAGTACTGAAACTCAAAAAGTTTTCAGTGCAAGTGGTTGCAAAATTTCAAGATAAATGATAAAGATAAACTTTCAAACAAGAAATAATAAACAAAACAATAAACAACAATACATTTTAAAGAAGATAACAATGAATTTTAAACAAGATAATGATAAACTTTTTAACACCATAAGGTTAAACTTTCAAACGAGATAACAATATACTTTTTTTTTGCCAGAGTTGAATAGAAAACTGCAAAATGTTACCAACAGTTCTGGTTTCCATAGCTACAGTGGGGTCCAAATAGGACACATTGACAGTCTGGTATTTTAAGTTTTTTTTAACTTAAACCTGGAAATAATTTAAAGACAAGAAAAGTTCTGACAATTAAAATTCTTCACCATTTCTAGGTCACTATTCAAAATGAAGCAAATTTAGTAAATTGGCCTCGTTAAAGTCTTTTCTCTTTCTTTGAAGTTGATGTCCAGACGACTCCCAGGTGGATCTGATCTGCCCATCTGAGGCTTTTGCATAAACTTTAGAAGTTTGTGCAGGACGAGTGCGCACTGTTGTTCAAATAAAAGGGAGACAAATTGAACCAAATCCTCAAATTCTATTATTCAAGTAAATATTTTAAATACTCTACTCAGATTGTTGTGATGGAAATGTCTTTTATAATGAAAATATTTGTATTAAATTAGAAAGGAATGCAAAATAGAAGCATTTTCACCAGCCCTCTCAGACTTTTGGACCCCATTGTTCATCCGCAAACTTTTTTAAGCGCTAAAACATTTTATTTAAACAATCATCTGGGTGGAAACGCAGCTTATGAGTTTAGATTTAAAAGGAAAGTGCCCTCCAGCTCCGGTGCCACCATGGCAACCCACCTCAGACATTACTTACATAACACATAGTTAGAACCTTCTAACTCCAAACATCTCCCCAGTGATGAGTTTACATTCTGCCTGATTGACAGTAATTCGTGCCCGCAGAGAGAAGCACGTGTTATGTAAGTTTTTTCCTCCTTGGCGAAAAGCTGCGGAGCTGAAGTGTACTTTGGAGGGGAGCTTGAGGATGAGGCTGATTTCCAGCTGGAGCGCAAAGCTTCGCAGTGGAAAAGTACAGAATCAAACTCATGTGTGCTTACACAACACAAAGCCCACTCGCGCTGCATTCAGATTCATCCACATGTGCATATGCGCTAATGTTTGGTAGAAACCTGATGCCGTAACCCCAACTCACATCTTGTTATAGATGGCCAAACACAACAAATGGCATGTTGTGCTGATGAGTAGATTAACTGAATGTCGTTGTGTAGTTTATTTTAATTTAATCACTGTTTATAAGCTACTAATTGACAAATGAGAGAGAAAGCAGGGCAGCGTTTGAGGCTGAGGTGATTTATGAGGGGGGCTCGTCCGGGATTCTTAACAATTCACTGCTGCCACCTTGAGGTTTGCTGGTGAAGCACAGCCACGTTCTCGCCATGCTGCCACCTACAGGGCACAATCCCCAATTTAAACGGCCCGCACTGATTTTTTCCAGCAGTGTTTAGCAAAATGCATTTCTCCTGGTCTCCAAGTGGCCACATGCAATGGAAAAAAGTCATCATACTAAATGATTTGCCATGTTCAAACCAAAAAAATATGTTTGCAGAAAAATACCCACAGCAGAATGAACACCTACATTGTTTCTTTGTGTTTATATGATTATATGTTTTAAACACATTCATGCCCAACAACTACGACAACATTTCCCAAAAAGTTGGGACACTGTGTACAATGTAAATAAAAATAGAATGCAATGATATGCAAATTATATAAACCATGTTTTTTAAAGGAAAATACTACAAAGACAACATATCAAATGTTGAAACTGAGAAATGTTATTGTTTTTTGAAATATATGTGCCCAACTTGAATTTGATGCCAACAACATGTTCCGTTAAAGTTGGGATGGGGGCCTGTTTACCACTGTGTTTCATCACCTCTTCTTTTAACAACACTCTGTAAGCGTTTGGGAACTGAGGAGACACTGCTGTAGTTTTGAAAGTGAAATGTTTTCCCGTTCTTCGTTGATATAGGATTTCAGCTGCTCAACAGTTCAGCGTCTCCTTTGTCATATTTTTCATTGCATAATGCACCAAATGTTTTCAGTGGTGTCAGGTCTGGACTGCAGGCAGGTCAGTTTAGCACCCAGACTCTTTTAATATGGAGCAATGCTGTTGTAATACATGCAGAATGTGGTTTGACATTGTCTTGCCAAATAAACAAAGCCTTACCTGAAAAAGACGTCATCTGGATGGCAGCGTATGTTGCCAAAACCTCTATATTGTTCAGCATTAATGGTACCTTCACAGGTGTGCACGTCACCCATACCATGTGCACTAATGCCCCCCTGTACCATCATGAATACTGGCTTTGGAACTGTGCACTGACAACAAGCTGAGTGGTCTTTAGCCTGTCCATGTTTTAGTGTCCATGATTCCCAAAAAGAATACCAAATATTGATTCGTCAGACCACAGGACACTTTTCCACTTCACCTCAGTCCATTTTAAGTGAGCTTGGGCCCAGAGAAGGTGGCAGCATTTCTGCAGTTTATATATTGTTTCTTCATTGCATTTTAATGTTTCAATATGGGCATGTATTTTTCAAAAACAATAACATTTCTTAGTGTCAACACCTGGTAAGTTGTCTTTGTACAATTTTCAATTAAATATAGGGTTTAGATGATTTGCACACCATTGCATTTTGTTTTTATTTACATTTTGCACATTCCCAGTGATGAAGTTATGTGTAGTTTATGCCTTGAATGAACATCTAACAGCAGAATTTATCTCATTATGTCAATTTTTCATACTTTTATTCACAATTAAATTTGGATTTTCTATTGTTTTACTAAAAAATTCCAAAAACCTACATTTTTAATATGAATTTTAATTTCTAATATGAAAGTCAAGATGAATTTTCAGATTTGCAAGCAAGTTCAGAGAACATATGGACTAAATGACAATTAAAAACCAGATATTAACATTAATTAAAAGAAGTAAACTTGTTATCTAAAAATTGTGGGTTCCAATATTAACCCATTAAAATTTTAGTTACATACTAAAGCTTATTATTCAGTAACTACAGGGACTTCAATGCAAACAAACTCAAGTATTCTTAGGTTATAGAAGTGTGTAATAAAACTTTAGGCCCACTGGTGGGCTCTGACCATTTAAGAGGCTACAGCTGAAGAACAACAATTATGAACGCACAAAACATTTTTACACTAAAATGCATGTTGTGCAGATTTCAAGCATGTTCAATATGAAAAGTACATACTTTACAGTTGAAACATACTTTAGCACTCAATGTATTATTTTGGAGCAACATATGACTCACTTAAGTGCATTCTAACTAAGCTATGATTATATGTATATTTTAAAATATTCAATGAATTTACCTTTTTGAACAACTTAAGTTGCATTTAAGTATGTATTGAGTAAACATAACAGTTATTACACTTGAAACATGTTATAAATATACAACTGGATGGACTGATATGGTCCCGTGCTGTTTATTCAGTACTCCAAATAAAACACACCTAAATGCATTTTAAATTAGATTTCAATATCACTAAATACACTTAAATACAATCAACAAATAAAACATGAATTAAGTGTATTTTTATAAAACATAATTAAGTATACACTTAGAAATGACTAAAAGACTTAAGTCATGCTGAAGTATATCTTCTATGCCTAAAGTGCTTTTCTGTTGTAAATGAAAACAACTTAAAGTTAACTTTAGCCACACTTGAAATATATTAAAATATATTTTAATTGTATACTCCTGGGTGTACTGACACCCATATTTGATTGCTAATTCATTATATTGCAGCTAAAATGTACCAAAGCATGTACTTCTAAATAATGCACTTAAGTGTACTTTTAATACAATTAAATATACTTTTGTTCAAGTATGATTCAGTATGTTAAGAAATACATTTATTTAAGTCTATTAAATGGCAGTAAATAAGTAAAAACCTCTCAGGTTTTCATTCTTAATTTAATCTGCGCTAGTATTCCAGGCGGTCACTAGGTGGCACCACCACTTTTTACTGTATGTGCCCCATTCACTCTAATCTCAGGCAGTATTCAATAAAGCTGATCCTGCGCAGGGCAGATGGTTCCGGATCCACCTCTTTAGCTCCTCCACGATCCCCCAGTAGGGGTCGCCTGCCTGCCTCGCTGTTCTGGAGGCCTAAAGTTTGGGACACCTTCCAGCTCCTCCAACAGGTGGCTCTGCTGTGGTCCCTCTTCTTCCTCTCTGCTCCCTCTCTGCTCCCTCTCTCCCCCTCTCTCTCTCTCTCTTTCCGTGGTGCTGGCCGAAGGATCATGTGTCTGTGCAGAGCGTGTGCATGAGTTGCTCCCGTTGGTTTTCTTTTCACGGTTTTTACGCTAAAAGTTGTTCATGCACTGAACGTTTCCAGCCACTTGCGCTGCTGAGGTCTACAAGGAGCTTGGTATCAGAGAAGGAACCAGAAGGAACTGACCCTCTGCACCGACCGGCCGATGTTGCTGTAGGATCAGTTTGTCTCGAGCTGTAAGGTAATACACCTCATGCATTTCATCTCACTATATCATGCACAGGTCCTGCTGCACCTGCATTAGTTGGAGCTGCAGCTACAGCAGGGCTGCTCAAGCCTGCAGGATTACGCACCTGCACTCTTCAGAATAACGGTTCTTCAGTGGTTCTTGGACCCCAAAGTTGTTCTTCTATGTATTTCTCCTGTGTTCTTGAGAGCGTGCTTGTGAGCTCCACAGGTTCCATTAGGCTGGAGTATCTTCAGGACTGGAGATAAGCCTTCAGTAATGCCCTCTTCCCTTTAGCTTTCTGAGACTCCGTCTTAAAAATAAAGCATCTAAAAGGGGGTTTCTTTGGCGCAATGCCACAGAAGAACTACTGATCTACTGAAGGACCATTGAATTGTTATTTCTTTGTAGGACCACTTGTAACTACGATGAGATGTGCTTTAAAGATCCTACATATAATGCAAAGGTTCAATATCAGTGAAAGATTTCACCCTTAACCTGTATGTCTCAGCCAATAACCACTTAGGAACCTTTATTTAGGACTTTACTGAGTGGTGGACAGAAAGAGAGGGTGATTTGAAGTTACTGTGTTCAGTGTTGTTGGTTTATAACCCTCAGAAACCACTTAAGGAACTTGTGAAAGGTGTCTGAGTCTTGTAACCTTCACTGGGACAGAGCTGCAGCGATGGCCGGCCAAATGTGGGTCGAGCGCCATTTGCACCCGCGCTTAAGCTCGCAGATCAAATGGAATTAAAGTGGACTGACGGGTGAGCGAGGAACCTGCTGACACACGCGCTCGGGGGCTTTAGGGCCTGGGACACGCGGGGCCCCGTCTGTCCGGCCTGGGGAAGCTTTACTTTAACTAAACTCTCTTCCATTAGATATAAACACGGCGCTGCTGCTTAGAGGTAAAATACCGTATCTTCAGTAAGACACTAGCCGGGCCCTCAGCATGGCTGCCTGATTAAAGGTCTTAAAGGGAAAAATCCACTTAAAGCCTTTTAAAGGCAACTACATGTGAATTAGTAGTTCTAGCAGTGAGTTTCTGGCAGGGTTTGGTTGGTCAGTGTATTTTGATCTTCCCCTGATACATTAAATAAGGGGTTCAACTACTTAAGACAAATGACCCAGTATCTACTATAAATTCTTCAGTATCTACTGTAAATTATTCAGTATCTACTATGAATTATTCAGTATCTGCTATAAATTATTCAGTATCTACTGTAAATTATTCAGTATCTACTATGAATTATTCAGTATCTGCTATAAATTATTCAGTATCTACTATGAATTATTCAGTATCTACTATGAATTATTCAGTATCTACAATAGATTGATCAGTAACTACTATGTATTATTTTATATTTACTATGAATTATTCTATATTTGCTATGAATTATTAAGTGACTACTATGAATTATTCACTAACAACTTTGAATTATTCAGTAACTACTATGAATTATTCAGTATCTACAATAGATTGATCAGTAACTACTATGTATTATTTTATATTTACTATGAATTATTCAGTAACTACTATGAATTATTCTATATTTGCTATGAATTATTCAGTATCTACTATGAAATATTCATAAACTACTATAAATTATTCAGTAACTACTATGAATTAATCAGTATATCCTATTAATTACTCAGTAACTACTATGAATTATTTAGTATCTACTATGAATTATTCAGTATCTACTATGAATTATTCAGTATCTACTATGAATTATTCAGTATATCCTATGAATTATTCAGTAACTACTATGAAGTATTCAGTATCTACTATAAATTATTAAGTATCTACTAGAAATTATTCAGTATCTACTATGAATTATTCAGTATCTACTATAAATTATTAAGTATCTACTAGAAATTATTCAGTATCTACTATGAATTATTCAGTATCTACTATGACATATTCAATAACTACTATGAATTATTCAGCAACTGCTATGAATGATTCAGTATTCACTCTGAATTTTTTAGTAGCTACTATAAATTATTCCGCATCTACTATGAATTATTCAGTATTTACTCTGAATTATTCAGTATTTACTCTGAATGTTCTCGTAGTTACATAACTTTCTCATTAGTTTCACAGTAGACACTGAATAATACGCCTTATAAAGTGACCGTTAAGGTTAGAGGGTAAGGGGCTCGGTCGTTTGTTTATCTTTCAGCTGTAGAAGTGTGGATCTAAGGCCAGGTTGTTTTTGGCTGGTAGGGTGTTCAGTGGCCTCTCCGCTCGTTTCAGCTGCAGTGGGAAAGTGATAGCCGTCCTGAATAATGCAGGGGTGTCAGCAGGAGGTCTGCGTGGTTATGTAACGATGCTGAAGGAGGAAAACTCTCATTAATACAGATTACTGAAGCAGCAGCTGGAGGAGTTCTCACTGGGGTCTTGAGTATACAGACACCAGACACATAGGGCTACTGTGGGAGTGAATATATAGTAAGTGAATGATGTTTATAAAGCATTTGTAACAGTAAAGTGTTGTAGTTGCTGTTTATAATTGTAAATAATTAAGTCCTAAAGGATTATAGTACTACATATATCTGAGACATAGCTTGATGACTTACGTCTTACATAATTCAGACGTATATTAAGCACATCATCACTGCTGGGACAAAACTTTCCATTTTTTTTGTCATATTTTTATCAGTAAATTAATAATTTTATATCAATAACTTCTGTTAGGCCTTTTTAAGCTTAACTCCTAATACTGCACTAATACACTTGGCACATGCACTTCTAGTGCAGTGTGTGCTACAACTTCACCTCAGTTCAGGCAACAGTATGGCAGTGATGACTGCATATAATGCTTTTTGCATTATTAATAACATACATACATCCTGCATGCAATTAAAAGTCTAATGTGGCTGATTACAGGTCATGCACAAAGAAGAGGGTAAAGTTGCAAATATAAAGGCCTAATGATTCCTGTCTGCAATTCTGAGCTCATTTGTATTGAATAGATTCATTGTGGGTGCTGCATTTGAACTTATTGAGTTATACACAAATTTTGGTTAGAAGTACAAGCTGTTGAAACGCCCATTGAAAAGAACCCGCAGTTTACAGCACCAGTACACAAGAAACACAAAAGCCAAGATACAGTGGCTCACTGCTAGCCGTCAGCAACACTGTCTTTTAAGAAGGCTGGCATGCTGAACTTTTACAACCAAAATGTGGTATTTTACATAAATGGAACGTTCGGCCAAAAACGGTCAAAACAGGACCAACAGTTCAGTTTTACAGGTTTGCTGGCTAGGCTAGCATTAGCTTACCCTAGCTTAAGTTAGTTTAGATTAGCAAACAACCACTTGCTGGTAGATGCACTTGCAGAATATAAAAACAGACATAATGAAGAGCTGCAATGCTTCTGAAATGACAAAATAGTACTACAACTACTACTATTAATAATAATAATAACAATAATAATAATAAACTATACTTGTGTGGCACCTTTTATATATGAATGCAGCTCAAAATGATTCACAGAGGATTAAAAAGCAAAAGAGATAAAACTGTCTACATTTAAATCATTTAAATAAGATCACATGAACATAAAATTATGGGGAAAATAAATACGTAAGTAGTGTAAACTGAAACAATAGTAATATTAATAATAGTAAAAATTTAAAGTAGGTTTAAAAAAGAGGGATAAAAAAAATTTCACTGGTTGAAACCATTACTGATGTTGCTTATGTTTTATGGGTGAATCGTTTAGTTTTTGTTTTGTTTTTGGTGCGTAAAAACAAATGGCAGCACTTTTTTTTGTTAACTTTTTTTTCCTTTAAGCAAGTGTTCATTAATCGCCCTTAAAGAATGATTTGATACATGGTTTAAAATGATCAGTGTTTCTGAATGAAATAAAACACCAAAAGGACACAGCAGCTGTTTAGCTAAGATCAGTATGATTTACCATTTTTCTCCTAACCACCTCAGTGCTGACCCACAGCATTATGGGATATGGAAGGTAGCGAAGGATCCTTCTACACTGCCAAACGGAGGAACCTCAGCAGGCAGCGTTTTACACAAACATTCGATTCTGACATGACTGCGGGAATTCCTGTCGGAGTAGGTAGACTCTTTAAAAAGATCGTTCTTCAAGGGTTCTTTAGTAAAGGGAAAGGTTCTGTTTAGAATGATGGGTTCTATATAGAACCATTGGTAACACTTTCTATGAATGTCACCTTTGTAAGCATCTATAAACACATTCATAACATGTTATAATGCATTCATAAGGCATTATTAACATGGCTATAAATATTTATAAAAATGCATTACACGTTATAGCCATGCTTATTATGCATTATGAATTGTTAACACAATGCATTATAAGTTCTGATCATAACAAGTTATAAGAGCTCATAAGTCGTATTTGTCCGCTCTAAGTAAAGTGAAGCGTACTGTACTAAAGCCTCCTCCAGTGTTCAGAGTGAGGCTTCAAGTTGAAGTATTTACTGAAGGATTTACTGAAACACTAAAACATACATAATAAAGCTCATTACAGGCTTCAAATGTCAGAGTTTAAACTAGAGCTGCCATCATTGTTTTACCCAATGTGGGAAAGGTAATGTTCACCACCGTTAGCTTGGTATTTGTCTTTACTTTACGCTCTCCAAGCTGGGACTGACTTCTTTGGCACTGACATTATAACATCTTATCAACACTGCTTATAATGCATTATATTAACAATTCATAATATATAATAAACATGGCTATAAAGTGTAATTCATTTTTATAAATGTTTATAATCATGTTTATAATGCCGTATGAATGCATTATAACATGTTATAAATGTGTTTATAGATGCTTACAAATGTGACATTCATAGAAAGTTTTACCGAACCATTTCATGCTTAAATGGTTCCTTGCATGATTAAATGGTTCTTCAGATTGATGGAGAATGCACTGTATATGGTTCTAAATAGAACCTTTTTGAAAATGGTTCTATGTAGCACCAAAAAGGGTTCTTCTATTTTTGCAAGCTTGACACTTATTATTGATTTTATGTTGTGCTTTATTGTTTGGTATTATGGTTGAAATGCTGACCTTCGACTGGTTTGGGGGGCTTTGTGCATGATGGTGGGTTTTAAACTTTTTTTTTTTTATGTAAACCTTAAAAACAATCTGGCAACCCTGGATTTAACCAAATTTCCATCAACTGTTAGGAATGGAAGACAGTAGTGGCAGCTCTATGCCAGCTCTCTTTATTGAAAGAGTCACTGTTTTATCTAGAACAGCCAAAAAATGTTCATGTGCACCAGAGTTAACTTAGAGCTAACATAGTATTAGAACTCCCATAGAGGAATTAACACTAAAGATGCATTGTCCTGTTTTTGGCCTGGTTTTTATATTTATAATAATGAATTTTCACTCATCTTCACTGAGCCCTTTACAAATGGTGTGAGAATCATTTATTTATTGTTTATTGAAGTTATTGTGATGCCTGTGTGTTTTCCAATACTTCACCAAAGGACTTATGGGAGCTATAGTTCTACATTTATTGTATAACTTATTTTCTATTCTACTATTACAGGATAATCAAGTGAGAGTCTGAGCCATGGACACGGTCATTCACTTTATGAATGACTCTGCAGAGTTTTACAAATGGAGCCTTACCATAGCAGGTAAACTTCACCTCTCTCACCTTCTCTCTTCTTCTCCTTCTGACATAATTCATTACACAGTGATGCAGTTGAGCACATTTGCTTTCAGTTTACATTTTGCATCAGCAGTTTGTTCGTGTCTGCACTGTTTTCTGTTTATTTTGATGCCAGAATCACAAAAAACATGGGAAAAAAATGTAAATTATTATTTTTCTGTCATTAAAACGAGACACAATAACTTTTCACCACATTTAAGTCATAATACAGTCTCCAACTGTCAAAGATGAGAATCAGGTCAACCTAAAGTTTTAAGTAAAGCCCCTGTATAATTTTAAAGAAGTTTAAAGAACTTATATAAATATTTGCTGGATTATTACTCAGTTCTTCACTCCAGTTTAGTCACTTTAGTCATAATTAGTCAAGTTTCCACCAACAGGCTCAAATATGGTAGTATAGTCCACTCTCTCGTCCACTCTTGTCCATTTTTGACAAAAGAGAGTTAATAAAAAACACTTGCACTCTTTGGTGAATGTTAAATCAAACACGTGTTTGTGTTGTTTGTGCGTTCAGACAAGCGAGTGGAGCAATGGCCAATGATGTCATCACCGTTACCTACTCTGGGCATCAGCGCCCTGTACCTCCTCTTCCTGTGGGCGGGGCCTCAGTACATGCAGACCCGTGAGCCATTCCAGCTGCGCAAAACCCTCATCATCTACAACTTCAGCATGGTGCTCCTCAACTTCTACATCTGCAAAGAGGTAAACTCCCTATTCCTAACTTCCTCCATCATCTCCATTATCTGCTCCATCATCTTCTCCCTCATCGCCTACATCATCTTCTCAGTTCTGTCCTCTATCATGTCCTCCATTCTCTCCTCCATCTTCTCTGGCATTCTCACCTCCATCTTCCTGTCCATCTCCTCCATTCTGTCCTCCATCCAACCTTCCATGCTTTCCTTTATTCTCCTTCTCTATTTTCTCCATCCATTCATTCCTCCATTCTCTCCTACATTCTGCCATCCTTCCCTCCATCCTTTTCTCCATCCCTCCACCCATATCTCCATCATCTCCTTCCACCATACTTTCCATCCCCAGCATCCATATCTCCATCGTCTAATTCATCCCCTTACATTCTTCTCAATCCACCTCATCATCCTCAATTCCATTCTCTCCACTCTCTCCTCATCCCAGCATCCTCCACTACATCCTTTATCCATCCCTCCACCTTCTGTGCCTTGCATCCCTCCAATATCACTTCCATCCACTTCTCAATCCCTACATGCTACTCTCTATTCTGTCCTCTATCTTCCGCCCATCCTTCATCCATCCCTCAAGCCTCTCCTCCATGCTATGTGCATTGCAGGATGCTTGGATGAGCAGAGACTCTGGCCCACGCACAATACCAGTCATCAGCGAGACAGTTTTAAAGCTCCTCAACATTGGACTATAAAGCAGTGAAAACACATTCTTTGGACTGATGAAGCATGAAATGAAGTTTCTTGTGAAGTGATGAAGCTCAGTTAAACACTTTTAGGATGAGCTGAAATGCTGAAATTCCATGAACACCTTTAGGGTGAGCTGGAATGTTGCTTTGAATACCTTTGGGATAAACTGAAGTGACAAAGCTTCACTGAATACCTTTCAGATGAGTTTAAGTGACAGAGCCCCGTTTAATTCTCTTGGGATAAATTGGAGCATTGACGCAACATTAAATACTTTCGGGATGAGTTGGATTGATGAAACTCCATTGAATAACTTTGGGATATTTTGGGATAAGTTTAAGTGACAGAGCCCTGTGTAATTATCTTGGGATAAATTGGAGCAATGATGGGATGAGTTGGATTGATGAAGCTCCTTGGAATACCTTCAGGATGAATTGGATTGATGAAGCTCGATTGAATAATTTTAGGATGAGTTGGATTGATGAGGATCCATTAAATACCTTTGGGATGAGTTTAAGTGACAAAGCCCTGTGTAATTTTCTTGGGATAAATTGGAGCACTGACGCAGCATTGAATACCTTCGGGATGAGTTGGATTGATGAATCTCCATTGAATACCTTTGGGATGAGTTGGATTGATGAGGCTCCATTGAATACCTTTGGGATGAGTTGGATTGATGAGGCTCCATTGAATACCTTTGGGATGAGTTGGATTGATGAAGCTCAATTGAATACCTTTTGGATGAGTTGGATTGATGAAGCACTGTTGAATAGTTTTGGGATGAGTTGGATTGATGAAGCAACATTGAATACCTTTGGGATGAGTTTGATTGATGAAGCTCCATTGAATAGTTTTGGGATGAGTTGGATTGATGAAGCAACATTGAATACCTTTGGGATGAGTTGGATTGAGGAAGCTCCATTGAATACCTTTGGGATGAGCTGGAATGAAGAAGCTCCATTAAATATCTTTGGGATGAGATGGAATGATGAAGCTCCATTGAATACTTTTGGGATGAGCTGGATTGATGAAGCTCCATTGAATACCTTTGGGATGAGCTGGAGTGAAGTTGGTGTGCTGTTAGCGACCTATTTAGTCACTGAGATCACTGCCGATCTCACTAATATTAGTCTGGTGGATGACTGCAAGCAAATAGCAATGTTGTGATATTTAATTCTCAATCTCCCTTAATACTCTTGCTTTTAGAAGAAATGTTGGACAAACAAGTGTTGGACATATAGTGTGTCTGTCATCTCATACTGTATGCAACCGTTCATTGCTTACCAACACATACACTAAAGCCCTGAAGACACTTGAAGTGGACTAGGTTCTTTTAAATATATACTACCCTCTAAATGCATGGATCTGTTTTTGTTCTAATATTCCTACTGTGCTGATTTCTAATACCAATATGTTGCTAATATGAAACTCCTGCTCTTTCTCTCTTTCTGATTTTCTTTCTAGCTGCTGCTGGGTTCCAGAGCAGCTGGGTACAGCTACCTCTGTCAGCCTGTTAACTATTCCAATGATGTCAATGAAGTCAGGGTGAGAAGGAAAACACACACACACACACACAATCCTAATGCAAATCCATATTTGTGCACCAACTGTGACCATGCTAACACCGAAGCACTTTCTATACCAGGACGTCAAACTGGGTTCCATCCAGGCCGCAGCTCCACAGACTTCCTCTTCTTTAAACATGCCTGATTCAAGTCATCAACTAATCAGCAAGGCTTTCTCGAGTTCTGAGCATTACAAGAGGAAAGTGGGGTGGCTAGTAGCCTAGGGTAGGAGAAGTGAGCCATCAATCAGCAGGTTTCAGGTTCAAATCCCATGACTGGCAAGATATACCTGGTTGTACCCCCTACTGTCCCTGCTAAGCTCTGTGGCCCACAAAAGAATCCAATTTGACAGCTCTGCTATAGACCCACGAATCTCCATAATGTTCCATCACTAGCAAGTAATTCTGCTAGTGGTAACTAACTATGGCATTGAATCAGGAATGTTGGAGCAGGAAGAACAATCAGTTGTCCTGTGATTTTCCAAAGACTGTAACTGTGAGTGAAAGTAGTGAAACAAGGGATACAGGCTATAAATTATAGTTGTTCAACCTGTTACCCATTTTAAGAACAGGGGTTTATTTGCATTGCAAGGAGATATCAGGGCTGCATAAATAGCAAGGTGTCCAATAAGAGGGATTGATTGTGAAGTCAGGGCGGTTTAATTTGGTCGCTGTGAGTAGGCAAGTTTCCTGTCTGGGCTTAACAATGCTACAGAAGTATTGGTGTTGTGTACTTGATTGTTTGGGCTTTGCATGGAGTGGCATCAGGTGAAACAGTGAAAAAAACACATTTTCTTCTGCTTTGGGAGCATGTTGATGGGTTAAGTATTGAATGATGTTTGCATGCAGACTGCAAATGATTTTAATTCACCACCTTCTTGAAAATAAATTCTAGCTTAAATGAATGGTAAGTAACTAGGTACCTCCTGTTAGCTTACTCTGATAGCACAGTCATCCGCTAATTCGCTTTAGCTTGGCTGTTCTTATGAGTTCTCACCATGCTCCACACTTCCTTCAGCAAGTGATCACTGATGTTACACATGCAAAATTCCTAAAAGTGAAGTCAATGAGAAAAGGAGATGGAATTCAGGGTAGGAGGGTGAAGCATACATATGAGAAATGAGGCATGCAGGTGGTCTTCCAAAGTGGTTTTGGAGAGTCAGATTGGTTAGTGATGCTGCAGTTGTATCCCTGTTTTCGGTGTTTTGTATCCTGGCCTCCACCATCACTGACGTAGTTTGGGGATTTCCTCAGTCTGCTGCTTTGGCAGCAACCTCAACTCTTGCTGGCTAACTCCATCTCCCTGGTGACATGAGGACATGGGCGGAGTCAGGTATCTCACCACCTCTTGACTCCACCCTTTTCCCCTCCTCCACCGGCAGAGTTGTACAGGGTTAGAGAGTTAACCAGAACTTCAGATCACCAATCTCTCTTACCTAAATTGACTCTACTGAATAGCAATATTTATCTTTGCGCAGCTCAGAATACCCTGTGCCCCTTGCATAGTGATAACTGGACAACAAAAATCAAATTTACCCAGTTTAATTCCATATTCCATGTGTAGCCATGCTTTGAAGCCTATAAGCATCAGTTAGCATTGCATCAAATCATGTCAATTTGTTAAGTAACCTTAAATGTACCCACTTATGTGGTTTCTGAAGTGGCAAGACATACTTTTATACCTAAAAATGGACAAAAGTACCTCTCATAGCTAAGAATAGTAGCCACAGCCATCTTAAGGATTAAATTTATCTCTACTTTGTTCCATTTTATAGACAGCAGTCGTCTCAGAAACAGACCTATCTGAGATTACCAAATATCTCAATGTGGTTTGAGGCAAGTATGTAAAAATTAGGCATGCAGTTAGCAAGATGCTAATTGGTTACATATACAACTCTACTGCTTGTTAGCTACATTAGCCTTGTAGCTCCAGTGCTAAACTAAGGCAAGCAAACTTCAGATGCCGGACATGTCTTAACCATTGAATTGCATTTGGGCTAAAATTGGATTTTTACTGCTGCTTTAATGCACATTGGTGAGTCCATTATAAACCTGACTGCCATGGCTTGCTTGTCGATTTGTCACATATAAGCAAACTTGACCACTTGACCACTGAATGTCTGCATAATGTCCGGCCAGCAGCTCTTAAGCTCTAAGTGAGCCGTTCTCGCAGCCCGTCTGAGTCTGTGAGGCTGTAATTGTTTAATTACCTGTAATTGAAGCTTACAGCACAATGTTGAGCTCCTTCCAAGCCGAGGAACATTTCACTCCTCTGAACTTTGACCCATGCTCTGATGACCCTAATCCATCAGTGCCTCAAACTCAGATCAACCCGCACAAATACACTAAAGGAAGAGAACAGTTGGAATTATTTTAGCATGCCTTATAGTGTGACCTGGCCTAAGTTTAGTACTGTTGGCTTTACACTTCACAGTGAACTTATGGTCTGGTTCCACTCTTCACTCATGCAGGTACATCATAAACCTGCATAGTTTTGGGTTGGTTGGGAGATCCAGTTGGCTGATTGGTGCAAGCTGGTATATAAAAAGGAATTCTACTAATTTTTTATTTATTTTCTCCATAATTCATTTGTTGAGATTTAAACAAAGTCATAGCTGTGAAGTAAAAAAACCTTCTGATTTTACAGAAACATTTTAGGCCACAACCCTCTCAAAACCATTGTAAGACTATATCTCAGACATCAGGCAACATATTCATAACCTTTTCATGCTCTAACTTCCTGTGAAGAAGCTTTTAAACCCTTCCGATGTCTGTTTCCTATTACCACCACTGTGCGCACTGTTGGTTGCATGTTTTGATGAGATTTGATGGGAACGACAAGACAAAAAGAAAGTTTAAACCCTTTTACGCTCCATGTTCTTTGGTAGCTATTGTTGCTAGGTTGAACAATCTTTATAGAATGTAGGCAAAAGTCCCATTTAACCTAAAGAGAAACTAGCACAAGCTATTTTGAGATGACTTATGCTTTGTGACAAGGCACATTATCATTTTGAAAGTTATGGCCATGAAGAGCTGTTCTATACAGCAACAGTAATCACATTCAAACGATGCTTGATTGGTGTCCAAAGTGTGCCAAAAAAGCATTCCCATTACACCACCTCCACTAGCCTAAACTGCTGACACAAGGCAGTTGGGTCCATCAATTTATGCTCTCTACAACAAATTCATGACTCTACCATCTAAATATCACAGCAGAAATCCTTGTTTAAAATCGCTTAGATCACAACTTTTCCCCATTGGATTGTTTAATTTGAACACTATCTGAAACTTGTCATCCATGTCTAAATGATTTTATGCATCGTGCTGCTGTCACATGATTGAATAGTTGCATAAGAGAGTTGTTTGGTCATTATGACAGCATGTGGTGCGTTTTTGCAGATAGCATCTGCTCTGTGGTGGTACTACATATCTAAGGGAGTGGAGTTTCTGGACACAGTGTTCTTCATCATGAGAAAGAAGTTTAACCAGGTCAGCTTCCTGCACGTCTACCACCACTGCACCATGTTCATCCTGTGGTGGATCGGCATCAAGTGGGTCCCCGGCGGCCAGTGTAAGAACACACGCTCATTTCATACACACCCAAAGTAGTGGTGCGGTCTCTCCCGCACTGCTACAACACTTTCCCCTTTAGACAACATGGCTTCCATTATTTTTCATTCCTGGACATCCATAAGTGGACGATGGATTAATATTCAATTTGCAGGTTCGGACTGTGCCTTCAACATATGGTGGTAGGGAAGGGTGAGAACTCAGAGAGCTTGGGCTGAAGTTCTAGGCAGCTTCTGTTTGGAGCTAGAAGGCCGGACCAGTCCTAAGTGTAGTAGGACTGACAAAGGACTGAGGAACAGGGAGGAGATGGGGTGGAGGTGGAGATAATGCAATAATTTCATCATGGGAAATGGAAGGTAGAGATGGGAATTTATAGGGAATTGCATTGGAAGGAGGAGGGGTTTCAGCCATGGTCTACCCACAAACATCAGTTATTACATAACTCCATTATTGTTTACTGGAAATGAAATGGGGTTGGTAGATATCATAACAGGATTTCAGTTGTTGTCCTGAGTTCATTGATGGGCTAGTTTACCATTATTGCCACTACATTATACATTTGTCTTTTCATCAAATTCTAACAAACACAAACGTGGTACGAATTGAAAGTTTGGTTCCACAGATTTTCTCTATTTTAACAAGGTACAATGTAAAATTACTAATGAAATGAAGTAACATTCAGGCCAGGAAGGCATAATCCTTCAGCTTTTTATCTTCTGACTCAGGTCTGTTGTGGTCTGGAGCAAAATGTGGATGAGGCTACAACACTAGCCTGAGAGAAGAGGCCTAAATGCTAGAGGGAACCAGTTAGCCTGATAATCTTGCATTTTGCAATCAGTAGCTTGCTAACTTTGCTAGCATTGTTGGCAGAAATATTAATGGTGTTCAAAGGTTGTGAGGGAGAGGGGAGAGGCTGGAGAGCAAAGCAGGACAGACGAGGCAACTACCAGATTGGCAGAAGCTGCTTTAGGGGCCAAAGTTAAGTTGAGGATGGGGGTCGTATTTGGGGGCAGGGGGCTAGTAAACATATGCTTCATCTTAACACCTTCTTAGTGCATGGGGCAGATTATATACCATTGGGTACCATGAAGGGAACTGATCTGCTGTCCAGTGCTTATGAATGTCCTAATTTACCACCATGCAGTGTTGTTGCTACTCTTTAGATTGCTGGAAAGACCAAGAGGACCTTTCATGTTCAAACATTTGGTTCCAAGACCCCATCAAGACTGCATGGACTAGATAATCCTCTCTCATGTCATTCTGCTCTAATCCTGACCTCAGTGCTTACTCAGCTCCTCTAAAATAGTCCAGAAGAAGATGCCCTTTAACCGAGATATGTTGTGACCCTTGTCCTCAATATGTTTTGCATCTCACAGCATTCTTCGGAGCAACTATAAACTCAGGTATCCATGTGCTGATGTATGGCTACTACGGCCTAGCTGCCTTCGGCCCCCACATGCAGAAGTACTTGTGGTGGAAAAAGTACCTGACCATCATTCAAATGGTAAATATGTCCACACGGGAAATGTGAACAAGACATCTTTGTTCAAGCTGTTGGATTTTCTAAATTCTTCTCTAGAGATTCTGTAGGTCTTCTCTTAGCCACTTGGGTCAATTTCCCAGGCAGGGACTAAGGGACTACCAACAAAATAAGGAGATGACGGAGGAATCAAACAATTGCATATGGATTTACAATGGGTGGGACCATCTTCGTTAGAAAAACAGTCACTCTATCTGCCCATTTCAGGCAGTTTTTAATATGCCCTCATCCACTTGGCCTCATCATTTGCCTTCTGGGAATCCCAGGTGCCATCTTAAAGGGCGTTCCATTACTGTATAAGCTCAAGTAAAGTTTTTTAAACAAATCCTAGGATTATATAAGTGTTGACTTCAGCAGCAGAACTTGCCCAGAAATCATTACAACCTGATACATTTCCTTTTTTAATCATTGCAAATATGACCCGTAATCTAACCAGGTTTCAGTCAGTTGTTAGAAATTGATAACTGGTGATAGCTCCATGTTTAATCTAGAAAAAGAATGCTCATGTGCACCTCCGTTAGTGCTAACATACTATTAGAATCCTATAAGGGTGTTAACCAACATTAGCATTATCATAGAGCTGGGACATTTCAGGCCTGAATGGAAGGTCAGTCTCTAATAATCACAGTACCTCACTGAGTTCATGTAGTTTTCCTTCTTTCTCTGAGAAGTTACTGTTTTGGTGACTGTTTTATAAGACATTCTCACAAATCTAGGACAGGGGTTATCAATTCCAGTCCTGGATGGTCCACACAGTTTGGTGATTGTGTTAAAAGGTTATACTTGTTCCAACCCACTTAAGTCTACTCTTCTGTTAATGGCCAGATTCGGAAAATCACAAAACTGTTCTGGACACTGTCCCTCCAGGACTGGAGCTGAATACCCCTGATCTAGAGTTTGGTCAGTGAGCATCAGCTCAGCCAAGATCACCTTCCTTCGGGTGATTACATGTAATAAACCAGAGAAACATTCCTGAAGTTCTCTGTTTTTGACTGTTTGCAGATCCAGTTCCACGTCACCATCGGTCACGCTGCTCACTCTCTCTACACGGAGTGCCCCTTCCCTGCCTGGATGCAGTGGGCGCTCATCTGCTACGCTGTCACCTTCATCGTCCTCTTCGCCAACTTCTACTACCAGACCTACCGCCAGCAGCCGCGGCACAAATCGGCCAAGGCTGCGGCCAATGGCGTCGCCACAGCAATCAACGGATCTGCCAAGGCCCCCGAGCACACGGAGGAGAACGGCAAGAAGCACAAGAAGGGAAAAAAGAGAGATTAAAGAGAGGAGAGGAGGGAGGAGGAGAGGAGGAGTGAAGAGAAGATGCATTTCAGAGAGTAAACGTCTTGGGGACCACTGAAAGGGGATTAGATGATTTTTGATTGGCTGAAAAAGGTGATGCATTGAATTTACTTGAGTTCACATGAATGTATTACACTTACACAAGTATTGCGACAAGTAATGCGATAATTGTGTTAATTGTGTAATATTTTTTATTTATGTGGGATTCTACACATTTTAAACAAGTAAATTCAACACACTTTTTTTGAATGCATACTATTTTCAGTGTGCAAACTCAATAAATAAGGTACACAGGGACTGATGCTAGGTGTCCAAATGTTGGAAGAAGGGTCATGCTCAGATTTTGCGGGAAGCCGATGCCACTTCCTCAGTTGCTTCCAGTACAACTGAACATTTCTTAGCTTCCTTGTTGACACACTGTTTTTGTCAAATATTCATGTCATAACAGCTTCTGTCTGGCTCTCTGTCTCTCGTGGTGCACTATACAACAGCAGTGAGCAGTGTTAACTTGAAGAGGGATAGTCAGAGTTTGGGGGGGGTCGGATAGGGGAAGGGACGGAGGGGATCACGTTTGTTCTTGTTTTTCAAAAAAGTGAGGTAGGGTTTGGAAGTCAGCAGCAGCTTCCCACAAAAAGAAAACTGCAGAGGAGAAAGAGTGCCTGGCTTGCATGCTCTCTTTCAGCAGTGAAAGCGATAGTTCAGTGAAAAATCTAATTTACTCAAATGTAATCCATCAGCCAAGACATGTTTGGTGTCTGAAGTTTGGTTGTTTTGCTTCACACTGTACGTATAAGGCTAATGGGGCTAACAAGTAACGACAGTTATTGAAAACTACTACTTGAGTCAAATGCAGGGCTATAATTGCCCTGTAGCTCCAGTGCAAATCAAAAGAAGCCCACCTCTGACACCAATGTATCGTCACTGATGGAACACATTTGGAGTAAGGAGAAACAGCTGTTGATTTTTCTAAACTTTTGCTTTAATGTTTGAATCTGGCAGTACAACAACACCAGCAACTGGTTAATAATCTGCCGTATCTGCCATACTGCACAAGTCTGGATTTAGACAGAAGCCGCAGATCAAAAGGGTCATTCTGGGTGTGAAACATCCAGAAATGTACCAACAAGAGCATTCAACTTTGCGGCCTAGTTCCTGTGTATAAGCTGAGCTGCTGTATGGTTGTGCAAGCATGCTGTTCTACAGACATGCTGACGTATATGTATGCTACATACTTACCTCATGTATGATGAAGTGTATTGATGTGTAATTACCTGCAGTGAGATAATATGATTACACATAAATATGCAGTTTTAGCTCTAGATGCTAAAAACAGTGCAGTCTTTAAGAAACTTAACATCGATATCATTTCTGTTGTTTTACTTTATTAGATTTGAAATTGAACAATGACTGTGAGAACTCTGATTTGAGACTTTTTGCATCTGTGTTGGTCCACCCATATGAGCTGCTTTAACAACACTGACCACTCATATGAGCTGCTTTAACAACATTGACCACTCATATGACGTGCTTTAACAACATTGGCCACTCATATGACGTGCTTTAACAACATTGACCTCCCATATGAGCTACTTTAACAACATTGACCACTCATATGAACTGTTTTATCAACGTTGACCAGTTACATGAGGTGTTCTAACAACATTGACCACCCATAAGAGCTGCTTTAACAACACTGACCACTCATATGAGCTGCTTTAACAACATTGACCACTTGTATTAGCTGCTTTAGCAACAATGACCACTCGTATGAGGTGCTTTAGCAACAATGACCACTCATATGAGGTGCTTTAACAACATTGACCACTCATATGAGCTGCTTTAACAACACTGACCACTCATATGAGCTGCTTGAGCAACATTGACCACTCATATAAACTACTTTAATAACAATGACCACTCATATGAACTACTTCATTGTGACACACCTAATGTGTTTGCTCCATCTGTAATTGTTTTATTGGCCTCTAGATGAACTGCTTAAATGACACTGACCACTCCTATGCAAATGTCCCTTCTAAGGCCTGATTCACATATACTGCTTCTGCATGGCGTGAGCCATGTGGCAGCATGAGTGCTACAGCTTGACTGCACTGACCTTTCATACATACAGCGTTTGTGCTGTGGAGCAGAGCAGTGAGAAAGTTATACACACTTCTTTTCCCAGATGGACAAATGGTCACATCGGTCACTCTGCTCAACGAAAATATAATTTGTAAAAGTGCACGATATATTTGTTTATCCTCGACAGCATTTTGACTTCTGACTAGGCAAAAGTTTCAAGCCTGGTCGACCAACCGAGAAATTTGTTTACAGCACGGAATGTTTAACTAGAATTTCGCCATGAATTTAATGCTGTTTTAAAGTTTTTATATGGTCTTCTGTTTAATTTTGATTGATTGTCATGGCTTATATAAGTGTTGCTGCAATAAAAAATCGGCGCCGGGTCTATTCTGTAAACACCACACCGCTTCTGTGCGGCATCTGGGATGCTCTGCCACTTCGCACGTGCAGCCTGTGTGAAAGCGCTGAGCAGTTAACATGGGTGCCGAAATGAAAATCAAGAGTTGCCATGTCGCTCACGCCTGTCAGACCCAGTGTGTGAATCGTGCCTAAGCTCTGTTTTACAGGCCTGACAGAACATCACCAAAAAAGATGCCCAGACTTCATGCAGCCATCAAACTGCAGACGGTTATGTTCCTTTACTCTGAAATACGGGTCTATGTATAAAAAGGGCTGTGATTTCTATATGGTTCATCCAATATACTTAAACATACCCTCAAATGAAAGCGGACAGTCTGTACTTTCACCTCATCGTCATTGTTTCTTTTCAAATCTAATACGCTGCAGTACACAAATTGTGCCACCGTCCAAATTGCTACACACAGCACGGACTTGGCCCTGATTGAAAGCGTGGCTCTAATGGATGTGCACCCTCCAGTACGGTCCTAATTCGTGTCCTATACGCACACACTACATGTCTTTAAAAGCATATTCCTGTATGTGCTACTTGAACGTCATGTGTGTGTTGTCACTGTATTCATCTGTACGTGTAAGAGAGCGAATTTGGGTTCACTCCAGTTATTTGTGTATGCCAGTTGCCTTGACCTATTTGAGTTGTCCACAGTCACACGTTTATGGGAACAAATGAAACTGACCTGATTACGGACAACTCAAATAAGCGAAGGCCGTCTTTTTCCTTAAAGCGTTTGCCAGTCTGGTTTTACAGTGTTCGGAAGACTCTACCTTGCCATGTCAGTTTAATTTGATTTATTTAGCTTGTTGTACGACAGTAAATGTCCTCTTGTTCATCTCTTTTATAAAGAATGGCCCCCCATCACATGTAAAACAGCTGTATGTAGCACGATAGCTTAGCTAAGCTTAGCTAGCCAAAGGAAACAACAAAGCTACCACAATCAGTACCCTTTTATGACCATTTCCACAGATTATTTTTGCAATCTATTATTTATTTTGGTGCGTGTTTGCTCACGGGTTCGTATAGAGGTTGTGGAAAAAAGGTGAAGAGTGACAAACGGCTAAATCTGTTAGCTAACCAAGCTTTTTTAAAAAGCATCCTGTCTCTGGTAATGCTGGAAATAATTACTGCCTGCTGATCTGAATAAATGGGATGCCAGTGACATTTAGTGTGTGTGTGTGTGTGTGTGTGTGTGTGTGTGTCTGTCTGTCCTTTATTTTGTGGTTTACACACTCTGAGTGATACTAAATGACAGAGACACGATCTCCTGTCTTAACACTTCAGTAAAGAATCCACTTCAGGTTGTATTTTTAGACCCACTCACTGGTCTGGAGGCTTTTCTTCCACCACTGCATCACTGTAATCTGCTCTATGTTCTAATTCATCTAAAAAATCGTGAATATTTGCTGCCCAGCTGCCATAAAAAGTGCTAATTAGGATATTTTCATGGTAGCTACTTCGCCACTGTGCTAATTTAGCTAATGCTTATTGAAGCTAGTTAGCTACTATGATAATATGGGTATGTTCATATTAGTTAGCTGCTCCCTGATAGCACGCGGATAGTGGGCCACTGTTGGCCCGCTGATGGCAAAGCTGACGGTCCACTGGCGTTTTGGTCAGCGTTTTGCTGGCGGCCCACCAGTGGTTTAGCAGAGTCATGACAAAATTCCTCTTATCATCGCTCATTTTCCACTCACAGTCCAATTTCCTTATTTTTCCTTCCTTCCTTTCTTTAGCTATACTTTGTAAATTAGTTTAGTAAATAATTTTAATCCAGCTGAGTGTCGGCAACAGCATTTTTAATAAAACCATTTCAAATCAGGCCTAGTTATTAGTTTTTTTCCCTCAGTTGATTGTAATATTTGTCTATAAGTTTAATTTCTAAAATAAAAGTCTCTGTGTATTTAAAATCTGTTTGAGGAGATTGAAAACTAGTTAGAGCTTGTATGCAGGAGAGTAATCTGGGTGGTCCAAGGGGGCACCAGCAATGGCAAACAGTCAGCGGGGTGCCGACCTTATCAAGCCAGCGGACCGATATATGCTCGCTATCTGGGCTGTGCTGATTTAGCTAATGCTTAGCTAAAGCTACAGTGCTATTGGATATTTTCATGGTATGTAGTTGGCGAGTTACCATGAAAATGTCCCAATGTCGCCACTTTTTATGGCACTTTCGTCAAGTGTCATGGGAAACTGGTGAGCAAGCTAACCTAGCAAGCGCTCCTGTGTTGTTTCCTAACCTTCCTGCTAGAAAAACCAGCATAGACCTGCATGGTCACCAGCAAAACCAGCATATGTTGTGTTTTGATGTTGATATTCTGGTCAACCAGCATGACTATGCAGGGGTGACCAGCTAAACCAGCACCACACCAGCATAAACCAGCTTAGATGCATGCTGGTCTGTGCTGGTAGGTACTGGTAGGTAGCTCGCTAGCTAGGCTTTTGGAGATGCCATGCTATTGCTAACCGAGTGAGGGGTCGCAGTTGGACAGGTGGTCTCACCCCAAAACAGTTCCCTGCTTGAGGCCCCAGTTCGGCTTATGGCTCATTAGAGCCTGAGGGTTGAGTGGAGCTGCAGATTCCTCCACTCATTCTGGAATTCATCTCCAAACGTTCCCCCGTCCTGCGGCCCAGAGGAACATCCCGGCTCATGGGATGGTGCTGTGTGTGTGTGTGTGTGTTGGAGGTGAAGGGGTATGTCCAGCCCAGGGCTTTGAGAGCTTGCTCAGGCAGATCTGACCTAAGCAGTCCAGTAAATTGGCTTTCGCTGTAAAAGAGCTTACGCTCACGTCACTCTGACAGTTTACAGA